TACCACCAAGGTTACAGAGATCCCATTCCAACCGATCGTCAAAAGACAGTAGCCATCATACAAGTAGAATATTCAAATTCGTCACCAGTGAATTTCGAACCCCCTACCTGGCCGACATATTGCTTGGGGGTGTGACAACTTAACCACTTCACTAAGTCACCACACCCTGTAATAATTTTTAATAATTTAATAGTTAAAATTTTTAACTAAAATTTTTAATGATTTAATAATTAAAGTTTATCAAATATATATAGAAAGTATCAATATAATGATATAGTTAGCAGTTAATAATAAAATATATAGATTAAAAATAAATTTATATTTATAAATAATGGTTTTTTTTCGATATATTTAAATAAATTTAATTTCTCTAAATGAAATTAATGTATTATTTTATTTTTTAATTCTAATTAAAATTTATAATTATTAATCAGTATTGCTATAGTAATACAGGTTACTCTCGTTAATATCAACCTATTTGAATTGGTTGTAAATCATGTTAATAGTGATATTAATGAGAGATCATATTAAAGTTGATATATATGAGGGAATTTTGATATATAAAAATTTATAAAAATTTGTTTTGTGGCTTAGGTTGATATTAATGAGGTTGATATTGACAGAGTAATCTGTACAATTTTGCAAAGCAAAATAATTATAAAAATTTTGTAAGTATTTTATTGCACTTTGCAAAAAGATATAATCCTTGACTTTTGTAATGATAACTGAAGAAAATTTCTGAGATTCTAAATCGTCTAATTATATTTATATTTATTTGAAATTATAATATTCTTAAAATCTATAGAATCTCACAATATTGTAGAAAGCATCTTTATAGTTATAAAGTTAAAAAGATTATTTATTATTATAACATATAAAATTTGAAAATATTAATTAAAAAAAAATTTTTTAATATAACTGTATTATTTGAATTAATTTCTAAAAATTTATTTAATCGGTTAATAATATATCTATTTGCCTTATACTATGGCTATTTAATGTCTGTATTATTAATGATTTATTTAAATCTATTAGTGACTTCTCGTATCTGTTTACTATAAGTTGTTTTCATGATACGCTAATACTTCTGCATTATTTAAGTAATTCTTTTTTATCTGTTTATTATGCAATAAGTTGTGAAAAGTTTTAAAAAAATATAAAAAAATCTATATTAAAACTATATAAATTGCAACTGATTTTTTGTCAAAACCAAACCTTGTTTATTATCGAAAAAAAAATGAAAGCATTAAAACAATTTATGCACAAAGTTTTTTTTCAAAATACATCTGAAAATATTTCAGATTCAAATAAATATAATAATTGTATAATATGTTTGTCTAAAATTAGTACAACTTTTTAACGTTCAATTATAATTTTAATATGTTACTATTTTTTTCATAACAAATGTATTTAATTGCTAGGCTTCTGAATCTGAATATACTTGTCCTATTTGTCAAAATAAAGATTTAGAAAATACTTCAGAATCAGAAAACTTTACTACAAGTGCTAATCAGCAAGTTAATCCGATTGAATCTACTACCGTAAATACATCTATATCTATAGAATATACTCCAATTGAACCTACTACAGTAAATACATCTACATCTATAGAATATACTCTAATTGAACCTACCACTGTAAATATATCTATGGAATATACTCCAATTAAACCTACTATTGTAAATACATCTATAGGATATACTCCAATCAAATCTACTACAAATACATCTATAGAATCTACTTCTATACCTTCTATATTAATCACCAATCCCTGTAATCTTACTGCATCTATAAGTGATCTAGCTATATCTAGCAATCCTATATCTATAATTGCCAACCCTAGTAGCTCAGCTATATCTATTATTATTAATACCTCTAATACATCCAACTCTAGTAATTCTACTGGATCTATATTATCTACTAAATTTAGTAGCTCTACTGCTGACCTAAAACAAGAAAAAAAGTTTTTAAAAATTCTTGCAGATTTAATTACTTCTAGTGAAGAATTATCTAAAGTTAGTAGTAGTAGTAGTGAAGAAGAAAATAGTGAAAATGCGTCAAATTTAGTTCAGCTTTATAATAAAACAAACCGTTCTCAAAAATGTGCAACATTAGCAAACTATGCTAAAATATGGTCCTGGTATCGATTTGCTAAAGCATTTGAGAGACAAATAAATGAAGTACAGTCAAACCTCCATAAATGCAACGTATACAGACTAGTTTAAAACATATATTTAGGGAGGTTTGCATTTAGAGAGAGCCAATCAAATTGCAGCTTTTAATATAACAAACTTAAATACTGACTTCTGATTGGCTATGTGTACTTAGAGAAGTTAGTATGATATAAAAATCTTTTGAGTGAACGTGCATTTGCAGAATATAGAACGTGTATTTAGCACTAATAATTTTATACAGCCAAGACAAAAACGTGTATTTAGGGAGGTATTGCATTTATAGAGGTTGTATTTAGGGAGGTCTGACTATATTACAAAATAACAGAATACCTTTGAACAAAGCCAAATCTAAAGTCTATAGAGAAATATTAGCACATCGATCTGATATTACTAAAGATACTTTAAAAAAACGTATACAAAGAACCAGAAATATATATAATTTGTTCAAAATAATTGGTATAGATAAAATCAATCGAATTAGAACACATAAGTATGACATAATCTCAAAGCTTACTGAACAACAAATTGAAATAATTATCCGAAGAGTAAATGCTATAAAAAGATAAGATATATATATAGTATATATATTGTAAGAGGCTCCTGGGCATCTTTATTTTTTTTTTTACTAATTACCTATTTTATTATTATTTTTATCAATATTATATGTTATAACTCAACTTAAATAGAATATTAAAAATAGCATTACCTTAATTAACAGGAATTTATTTCTTCTCTATCACTTATAACAGTAGTTAGTAGTGTTATTAATAGCACTTCGATCCCTAATAGGGATGGGTTCAGCTAGGTATTTTTAGCTTAACTGACTAGCTATCTTATGATCTAGTTATCTAAATTGAATAGTTTTGATACTATTCAATTTGCCTTATTGAGACGAATTGAATAGTACTAAAATCATCCAATTTGGATTACTAGAATACGAGATAACCAGTCGGCTAAGCCAAAAATAGCTAGCTGAACCCATCCCTAATTCCAAATAATATTTATATTCTAAATGCTGTTAAAAGCATTTATAGCCTTTATGACCTTTATGACCTTAGGGTCTTTAGTTTATTTAGTGCATAAGTGTAATAATAAAATCTGTAGTTAATTAAGTATGTAAAAAATATAAAAGCGAAGCTTTTTTCTTCTAAAATAAAACAGAACTAAGTTAAGTAAAATATCTCAAAAGCATACATAGTAGAAGTAATTCTAAATAATTTATACTTATCTCTTCATTTCTAATAAAATATTAAAATATTCTTTTTTCTGTTCTATTGTTATTGATAAACTTTTATCTTGTTGCATAATCCAAGTTGAGTCTTGACCTTCTAAAATTCGAGTAGAAGTGTTAATTCCAAATTTCTTTTAATAAAAACATAAATCTTTATAGAGTAGATCATCATAAAAACCTTGTCTCTAAGTTTTTTGATTTCTTAGTAAAAATAAGCAAGAGTAAAAATTGCTTAGTAGCTCAGACTTCTTATATAATAATGATAAAACACAATTGGTTAAATCTTTGATCTCCTATGACTTATGTGATGATCGTTAAAGATTTTAATAATCAAAATAGAATACTAAAGTCCTAGTATGCTAAAATTTAGAAAAAGCATTATTTTTAGCTTCTAACTAAAGCTTACAAACCTCTGGTAGAAGCACAAGCCAAGACTATACTTATTTTAAACACCAAATCTGCTATACAAGATCTGAAAGACCTTGAAACTCAGACCAAGTATCTCTATTTCAAGACTTATGAAGTCTTTGGATCATAATTTAGTAAATTAATATAGAGTTTTCTAATCTATCTGCCTGTAGAAAATAGATTAGATGTATTGTTATTATAGATCGGAGTATTAATAGTATTTTTTAGAGGTTCAATATTAGAAAATTGATAATAAATTTTATCCCCAAAACTTAGAGGACAAAAAATTAGTTAAATTTGTATTATAATAGCAAAATTTTACTTTCTTGAGAATAAAATACTGAATATAAACTTTCTTGGTTATTAATATTTTAATTTCACAATTATTTTAAAGGTGGCATGATCTAGTTTATCTAATTAAAGATAGATTTTATATATCCAATTACAACTAGAAGAGAAATTACAATACCAGGACCGTAGTAATGAAATTACAAAGTGTATGGTTAGCAAACAAATAGAATAGCTAGTAAGAAAATCTGGAATATATTGGAAGATGATTGGTCATATTAAAAAAAAAAATTTTTATTATATCAGGTGCCTGATTTGTCATATCTAAAATTTTATCATATGATCTTTGTAAATTACACAAATCTACGAATTCATATTTTTAAAATTTTTTCTAAAACCTTAGTAAAAATATACTACACTTTTTAAACAAACTTATTGCTAAGGTTTCTATGAATTGAAAGGTATGAAAAATATAAAAAAGAACTTCTCACTATAAAACACCATGTTCTCGAATATTGGCAATTATTTTACCTATTTCTGTCGCATTCTTTTTCAGTACGCAAATTTGTGATGTAAAAAGTGATTTAGTAGATGCACCAGGACGAGAGCTTTCAACAAAATAAAACTTTGAAAGGCTAGTATATTATTAAAGTAGTAGAGAAAATCAAGAAAAACTATTTTATAGTAAGTACCGTATTTTTCCAACATGTATATCTCCTGTGGGCTATACTCTGCAGCAATTTAGAGTACCAAATTTTGATTTATACCTGGGTATATAAGTATGGGAGTATTATACTTATATACCTGGGTATATAATAGAAAACCATAGAAATACTCATACAGTATATCCCCTTTACACATATACCCTGGGTATTAAAATAGGCTAGAGATATACTCCAGGTATATATATTGGGAAAATATAGTAGATCGCTCATTAATTTAATGTAACTGATATATTTAAGCTATTCAATTTGTTAATACTTACTATTATGTTGCTTTTTAACTAGTTCTATTTATTCGAGATAAGTTATTTAAGTTTATATAATCTTGTTTGCTTTGTTTTAACTAGTTGGAATATAATTGTTAGATGAAACTTTAGATATTGATCGGGTAGTTTTGAACATTTAATATTATAAAAAATAGTTCGTCTAACAATACTAATTGAGGTGTAAAATAATATATTTAAAATAATATATTTAAACTTACAATATTTTTAATTTAGGGTGATTTCTTAACATTGTGGGCTTGGTGCAAGAAAAAGTGATGAATTTAACAAAAAAAAATTCGGCACAAAAAATTAATTTTCTCATGAAATACTGATCAGAATTATATAGTTTGGTATCATTCGATTCATCTTGTCAAGACGAATCGAATGGTACCAAAATCACATAATTCTGGTTGATAGTTCATAAGATAATTAATTTTTTGGAACGAATTTTTTTTGTTAATTTCGTCTCTTTTTCTGTAATAAGCCTAATTGAAGTAATCTTACATAGTATGAAGACTCTTGAATTCAAAATACGAATTTTGTGTTTAGTCAAAATAACTCATAAAAAAGGATAGATCGAATCTTTATATTTTATTTTAGCAATTTATTTTAGCGATTTATTGAGTAGAATGCTTGAATTATTGTTAATTGTATTTATTTGTATTAATTATGTATTTGAGATTATTTACTAATTGGCATTTTTAAATTAATTGAATCAATTTTCATTTGATTTTTATTTAAAATGAATAAACATTTTTTAATAAATATACAATTTTTTTTTTTGATTTTGCGATTAATTTTAGTTCTAAGTCTTAATCTTAGTTCTAATCATTTTATAACTTGTAACTAGCCCGATGTCTTCCAGTAAGATAGATTCACATGAGAATAACTTCATTTGTATTCGCTAAACCAACTCAGTTAAAATTTTAATAAGCTGTTTTCAACCTACTTAATTTTAAAAAATTACTTTATTAGTAATAATTCTAGCTTAACTAGCTTAAAATTTCTTCGTAATCACACGATTTCTAAACCTGACAAGGTCTATGTATCGAATCTGGTACCTTGTAGTCGTAACTTGCAACCTTTTTTAATGGTTCTAGTGGTTTATAATTTTTAAAACAAGCTTAGTAAGTTTATAGAAGCGAAATAGTAGTTTTATATATATAAAAATAAAACAAAATGCCAACTTGAAGTGCTACATTCTTCTTGGGTTTATTTTATATTGTAGTTTAAACTTGCAAATAATAAAGAAATCAACTTTCTAAACTGTCAAAATGCATATTATAAGTGCAGTTTCCTTTTTAGAAACCCTTGAAATAAATAATTGAAAGTAGGTGACCATTGCAATTTACTATGAAAATTGAGCACATCATATGCATATCGATCACTCAAATTTTATAGTAAAAAATTTACCTCTGTAATCTGTATGACAAATCGGGTACCTGATATAGTGTAACATACGTATATACGTATAAAAAATATTTGTAGAATATAAGTTTGCGAATGAATTATTTAATAGGGCTTTTTTTTCAAATTGAATAGTATTGTGGGCATTGAGATGGATTGGGTACTACGTGTCAATGTTTATTGTATTAAAGAAATTAATTACTTAAAGTTAAACGGCATTCCCTGGTATTATTTGAGAATTAGATTGGTAGGCGATGAATAGTGCTTTGGTATAGTACTATTTGCTGGGATACTTGATACAGAGTTAAACTGTGTCATTTATATATAGGGGTAATGTTGTGTAGCAACCTTATAAAACTTGATTGATATTGAATTAAGATAAAATTTTTAAAAAATCAGGTGTTCATAAATGCATTGGTTGACAGATTTATTTAGTGCTAATAAGATTGCTAGTTTGAATATTTTATTCGAAATCTTTAATTATTAATTTTCTTCTATTTTTTTTTAGAAGAAATAAAAAGAAAAATTTAATAGCATATATCGGTTTTATAGTGATTTGAAGTTGGTTTGTATAAAAACTTGTTTATTTTGATCATTCTGTTGTAGATATTACAAAATACTTATGTCTGAAAATTTGATTTCAGTCACTTCCCAAATATAATACCAAATAAGCTAAATATGACAATATGATTTAATGGCTAGCAAAAAAAAACAAGCTACATAGTATTGAAAAAAAGACTGAATAAATAATATAATAAAATAAGAAAACAAACAAAAGGAATATAAATATATATATAAAATAAAACGAATATATAAATAAATAAAACTTAGCTAAGAGCAAAAAAAAAAAAAAAAGTGGCAAATTAGAGAAAAAGGTAATATTGATAACAAATAAGAAATACCAGGAACATAGTAATGAAATTATCACACAACTAATAATTTATATATAAGATTTCCAAATCATTTACCACTACTTGAAATGCCTGTAACTATCAGAAAAATTCTTATAAGTAATACATAACTTATATATATATATGTAGTAATATTAAAATATTATATATTAATAACCCAAATTTTGATTTGTAGTTTAGATAAACTCTAAAATCATGTTTTAGCTCATAGGTATATTGCAAATTTAAATTAATTTAAAGATAAACAGTACTTGAAACGAAATGTATAAGGCAATTATTCATGTTCTTATAATTATTGAAAAAGTTTTTTTACTAAACTCGAATTGCTAGTATATATCTACTACTTATATTACATTTCTGATTTGAGTGCGACTATGTCATGCAGCTATCTAATTATATTTTAACAAATATATATTTGAAATACATATTTGATTTATTTGATCAATTTGATTTAGTCAAATATTTAATTTGATCGAATCTTTGATTTGATCAAATATTTGATTTGGGATTCAAACTTTAATTTAAGTTTGCAGAGCACTAAATACATATGATATTCATGCTAAATTATATGA